TTCATTTTGCAAAGTATGTATAAAGGAGTGAGATAAAGATGATGAGAGAGGAAAACATATGGGAGAGTAAAAGAAGAAATTAAGTATAAGAAAGATAAACTGGCAAACATTAAAGGAAGATTAAAGAGAAAGAATTCTGTATTAGGTGAACATTTGTTTTAAGTGAAGGAAATGAAAGCAAGAAAGTGACAGAATAATTCACCAAGTGGTCAATTAAAGACAAATGAATTTCAAGACAGCATATACATATACACAAGACAAATGTTAATATACAAAGTGAAACGATAGCGTAAAATATTTCTGAAAATCAAGATAAGGGTAAATAGACGAGACAGGCAGTACTTGTAATTGGGTCATTGGTGACTTAGTACAAGTGTAGGAATCTATGTGTAAAAACAATAAATAAAATAAACTTATAGTGGATATGGCATGTACATACATGTCATGCCTATCGGATTTGGTTCAATTGTCTTTACACATAAATGGCTCTACAAGTCACACAGATGAATCCATAAGTACTTAATTACATAGGAACCAATTACTAGTATTATTTACCACACCTGCTTACCCTTTCCCTTGAATTTTGGGAATATTCCCCCTTTGTCATATACTCTTATTAGTAATATCAATTACATTATAATAATCATAATATCTGTAATAAAAATAACAGCACTGATACTGATAGCATTTTCCCCCCCGAAAGAGCAAGGAAGTCGGGTGAGATTACGAGGTCTACTAATCTAGCTGGCATAACGACAAAGAACAAAAGAAAACTAAAATGAGCATTACATCTTTCCCGAGGCAATGGGTTAAGCCTAATCACTAAGGTGTCAATTATGGGGCCTACCTGACCTCAACTCTATTTAACATTTTACTATTATTACTGCTATCAATATCTTTATAATAATAAAATAATAATAATAATAATAATAATAATAATAATAATAATAATAATAATAATAATAATAATACTAATACTAATACTAATACTAATAATAATAACAATAACAATAACAACATCATTAGTAATGATAATAAAAATAAAGAATTAAAGAATTGTTTTCTATTCTTCAAATTTACATAACATGGTAATCATCAGTTAGAAAGAGAGAAAGAGAGAAAAGACGTGAATTATGCAATGCACCTATTTCTATTACCTTCAAAATACACTGAAAATAATGAGTCATATTTCTGAAGTCTGTTACTGAACTGCTCGGTGGGCAAAGGAATCTTTATACTGCTCTAGTGTTTGGAAGTGTAGATAGAAGTGATTGAGAACTCGACTATTTCTAGCGCGAAGGAGGTGTGGCGACCTACAGGACTAATGGGCTAAGGCTGTGTGCCATTATGTGTGTGTTGACATTATTATCATCATTTTTTTATTTAGTAATCTTGCAAGTTGCAAAATCTGTTCATATATACTGTATAATTTTCTGGGTATATAACAAAAATAAAAAAAAAATTACTATCTCAACATTTTCTACAAATCAAGTTTTATTTGGAAATATCTGACAGCTTTCAGGTCTTTCATGAACATTAGAAGGATCACATAATTACATAATTAAGGACTTATAAATCTAAAATAATTTCTGATAATTAAAAAAAAAAGTTACTGAGAATGTGACTAAAAATAACCTATTGCAAAATCTTGTTTTTGCAATACGATTTAAAGCAGACAGCAACATTAACCCTTTTGGATCTTTTAACGTTTCTACGACTCCCTCGCACACCAATCATGATTAATTAGCTGTAAATTCAGTTGATTAATGACCTCTAATTATCCCAAGGACAAAATGAAGGCTAGAAATACATAGGCCTACGTTAACAGACGACACACCTTTTCCATCCCTTTTCACCCTTACACACGCCCTCCTTCTCCCCCATTGCATACCATTGAGCGGCGGCGAGCTGTGGAAAAGGGCTGCATAGAAGTCATTCGCCCTCGAGACGTTGGAGAAGCGAAATCGGGATATATTCCGAGCGAGGAAGCCCGTCCGCAGAGCAGCCATCTTGCCGGCCGGACCTGCGGCTCTGGGGGGTAGGCGACCGCGGGGTTATTGTTTTTTGGGGGGGGGGTTCTGTTAATTTGAGGTCTATTTTATCTATTTTTTCTGTTAATTTAAGGTCTATTTATTCAATTATTCTTTGAGTGTTTGGGTTTTGTGTTTTGATTTCTGATTATTTGATAGGTGTGTGATTTTCGTCTCTGTGCTGTAAGCGACCTCGGGTTTTTTTATTCATTTTTTAATGTAAATTTGATTTTTATATTGTTTAATATCTATCTATCTATCTATCTGTCTCTCTATCTATCTATATTGTGTTATTTCCTATTTTTTGTTTTCCACTTCAAATAAAGTTATTTTTTGGGGGGGGAATGTGGGTAACATCTGATTTTTTCATATTGTTATAAAACGACTTATCTTTCTTAATTGTTTTAATCTATTTATATTTTTTGTATTGTTTCGTATCTTTTATTGTCCATTTTCCCATATCTTATTTGCTCATTTCCCCCTCTTTATCTCGATAGGGTTTCTATCATTCTGTAATAAATTTCTTTTTTTCACACTAAAAATCATCCAAAATTCAGTTTAATATTATAGATAACATATTAATTATATTGCGTTACCTCATTTATTCATCTTATCTATCATTTTTTTTTCTAATAACTACATGCCGTAGTTTTAAAAATCTGCCGCATTTGCATATCATTATCGGCAATTTTTTATATAAGGAGATAAGGACGCATTTCAGATAGTTTCAGCTGTTGTCAAAATGTATAAAATGATAAAATCTAAAAGTTATTTCAGGTACATATATTAGGCTTAGTAAGATTTATAACGTCAGTATTAATGTACACTATTACTATACTTATGGTGATGGTGATAATGATGATTGTTGATGATGATGATGGTGATGGCTAATGATGATGATGATGGTGATGATGATGATAAAGGTGATGGTGATGATGTTGTTGATGGTGGTGATGATGGTGGTAATGGTAATGGTGATGATGGTGACGATGATGGTTAATAATGGTTAAAAGCAAGATAAATGTGCTAGACATCTAAGGTCATGTAGCACTATAGTTAATGTTAGTGAAGGGTGGTTGAGTTAGTGATTAGTTGTCTAAGCTGGGCAAAGGAATTGGTGAGTGAAAGGGTTAAGGTCGGGTGTGGTGAGGAGTTAGATTAGAGGAAGGATATGTATGCGTTTGAGGAAAGAGAACAGGTTGTTGAAGCAGAAAGTGTGGGATTCTGTAAGGATGTCTGATAGGTTGGGAGGTCGGTGAAGGGAGGATAGGTGGGGGAAAGCAGAGGTATGGGCTGTTTCAAAACGTGGGCACGACAATAGGATGTGTGGGATTGAAAGGGGAGCATTACATAAGGAACATAGGGGTGGATCAGATTGTGACATCAGATAGGAGTGTGTTAGACGGGTGTGGCCAATGCGTAAGCGGGCGAGAGCGGTCTCCCAACGTCTGTTCCGATGAAATGGAGCTGACCAGGAGGAGATTGATAGTTTTACAGAATGTAATTTGTTAGTGTGGAGGCTTGACCAAAAAGATTGCCATCGGTTATACAAGAAGGTCTGAAAGTGTGGGTAATAATCCGTGGCTGGGATACGTGAGAAGCGTGGTTGGTATGATGTGGACATAGCGGTGTGGCGTGCTAGTGTATCTGCCTGTTCATTGCCGGGGATTCCAACATAGCTGGGCACCCAGAAAAATTTGATTGTTTTATGGCGTGTGGACAGGTAGAACAACCAGTTCTGGATCTTACAAACAAGGGGGTTGGTGGTGTGTATTGACTTTATGAGAGTTGATGAGTCAGTAAAAAATTGTAAAAGAGGAAGAGGAGAGTGAGTATATGTGTTTTAGGGCAAAAAGGAGTGCATACAGTTCTGTAGTAAGGACACTGGATTCAGGAGGAAGGGAGTATTTGAAAGTACAAGTTGGGGAGATTACTGCAAAACCAGCACCGGAGGTGGATTTGGAGCCATCAGTATATACGTGAATACTAGAGGAATGAGTGAAGACATGGTCAAGGAATTGGGTGAGAAGGACAGCAGGAGGAATATTTGATTTTGGTGGGTCAAGGAAAACAGAAGAGCAAATATAAGGATGAGGTATAAGCCATGGGGGACGGAATGGACAGAGAACGGAGAAGTTGGAGATGGGGGAAAGGGGAATGGGAGAGGAGGGTATCCATGCGAGTCGAGAGAGGAGTAGGTAAACGTGGAGATGAAGCTAAGGTAGGAAGTAGGGATTGTGGGATAGTTTA